TAGAATCCTTAGGCTCCTAAACACCACCTTCTTGCATAACGTCAGTACTAATTCCCAAAGTTGCTTGTGATCTCCCCACCCATTAACTTGTATTTATTTTTATATAATTTGCTTATGAATATATGTACATGTGGTCTTGCCTGATGGGATGTAAGCTCCATGAAGGCAGGGAAGTTTTATTTCATCTTCGTAATCTTAAGCATGCAGTTAGTCCTTAAATAAATGCTTGCTGATTGACTGAAAAAATCCTGGAAGTGGGAGAGGGACTGAGATAAGACTGTAGAATGTTCTTCTGAAAGGTAGATTCTTGTTTTTCAGACAGAGTTTAGGCATAACCTCTGCCATTCACACAAGTGGATGGACTAGAGATGTGAACTTTTGTGGCACCTTCCATACTCCCAAGAGTCCAAAACAGTGGAGTTGGTTCAGAGACTAGACTAGCTGACCATACAGCAACAAAGTCAGAGAATCCATTCAAATTACTTCTTGCTTCCTTCTTACTCCAAGGAGATAGGCTTGCAGATAGGAGGACTTGGCATTTAACATCTGTAAAAAGGCTCAACAGATTCATTCCCCCTCTGTCTCATAGATGTGCAAAGTGGAGGCTTTTCCCCCGGCCATAGGCTTTCTGTGAGGCCCTGCTTTCCATTAGCCCAACTCAATTCCCCATTTTCATAAACACACTGGACAGGTACCTCTAGAGCTTAGAGAGAAATGCTCCACATCATAGTAATTGCCTGTCAAGACTCTTTATACTGGGATGTTAATGGAGAATAAGGAGACTCTAGTTCCTTGTTCTCTTTACTGCTTCCCATTTTCAATTCTTCTTAACTTATTTCAAGGATTCAAGAGAGTCTTTCTTAAACAAAGCAAATAGTTCAGTTGGCAGTTAATTGAGATTGAGCGCTGAAAAATGTCTCCCTTTCCTTACCCATTCTCAAATGCATTCCCAGGTTCTTTTCCACATTCTACCATTCTACCCCAACCCTGAGACACCTGGTTCTGATGCCTCAAGATTCTGAGTATCTACTTCACACAAACACCACTCTAGTTCAGGCCTTCATTGCCTCTTGCCCATACTATTGCAGCGCTCTCCTAATTGGCCTCCCTTCCTCAAGTTAATCCTCCATATTGCTGCCAAAATGATCTTCCTTAAGTGTAGCTCTCACCATTTCACTTTCCTCCTCAATCAACTTGAGTGCCTCCCTAATTACTCTGGAAACAAACATAAATACTTAACGTCCTTTATAGCTTTGTCCCAATCTATCTTTTTAGCCTCATCATACATTGGGGCAGCTAGGGGTGCAGTGGATATAGTGTCAGGCCTGAAGTCAAGAAGACTTATCTTCATGAGTTCAAATCTGACCTTAGACGCTTACTAGCTGTGTGACCCTGGGCAAATAATTTAACAATTTGTCTCAATTTCCTCATCTGTAAAATGAGCTGGAGAAGGAAATGGCAAACCACTCCAGTATCTCTGCCAAGAAAACCCCAAATGGGGTCATGAAGAGTCAGACATGACTGAAAAACAACTGAACAACAAAAACAACATCATACATTTCCCTCTTTCCTATGGTCTAGACACACTGAGCTTCTATCTGTTCCTCACACATGATTCTCTGTGTCTTTGCCTAGGACATTCTCCATTACCAGAATGTGCTCTCTCTTCATCTCAGCCTCATAGAATTCTTTTCTTACTTCAAGATGATGCCCATGTACTACATTTTACATAGATCTTTGCTCAGCTGAGAGGTAGCATAATGTAATGAAATACAATGTTGGACTTGGAGTCAAAAAGACTTGGATTCAAATGCCACTTTGGACACTTACAAGTTTGGACAAGTGCCTCAGTATCCTCATCTGTGCAAAAAGATTGGATTTGGTGATCTCTAAGGTTCCCCTCTCATTCTAAAGCTATGATTCCCCCAATTACTAGTGCGTTCCTTCTCTTAACCACCTCCTATACTTATATATGTACATGTTGTCTCCTGTGAGCCTTAAGAGCAGGGTTTGTTTTATTTTTGTCTTTGTATCTCTAGCAAAGGGCTTGGCACATAGTAGGTGCTTAATAAGTGCTTACTGATTGACTGTTTGAGTTATCAAAGCAAGATGAAATTACCTTCTGAGCATTAAATATCAAGATATTCTACTGGAAAATTATTAATTTTATACATGCAGACTCAATAAATTAATCGGAATATTTGATGAGAAATATCCTATTTCCTGATCATTTTACAGCCATGGGAGTTTATGGTCTAGAGGGCAATAAACAAGGTACTTTATACATAGCTGCCCTCCTGAGAAGTTGTGGGTAAAATGAATCTATATAAATCAAAACCCATTTAAGCTGCCCTACTAAAGGAACCCAGTGGCAAATCATTCTATAATGTAAATAATCCCCTACCTTTTTTTGTGTTGTAGTATGGATATTTTTTTTCCCCAAAAGTAAGGTATTCATTCTCTCTTCCTGTCCACAGAATACAAGCTTTCTTTAGAAGGGAAGACCCGGAGAAGGGATGACAACCTTTTATAGCTCTAGGGAATAGACAGATGGATAGATGGCGGGATGGACGAAAGGACAGATAGGTAGATAAAACCTTTGTTATAAGCATTTACTATGCACCAGGCACTGTACTAAGTGCAGAGGATACAAAAACAAGCAAGATGGTGTCTACCTTCAAGGAGTTAACATTCTAAAGAAAAAAGACAACACATATACGGAAATAGAAGGGAAGAAGGGCAACTTGGGGCAATTAAATGAATCTCAGTGATTTCAAGACGATGAAGTATCTTCCTCTTAGAAAGATATACATGTTTTATGAGCCTGATGTAATCAAAAATATGAAATCTCAACTGTGTAAAGTTCTTAAAGATATTCTCAACTTCACACAAGTAAAATATAGTGTCCAGAATCTTCATTTGTTATAAACCACCAACATCATTGTTAGAAGAAAGTCCAGCCACCAGAGTTCATGCAAAAACTTTCTGTTGGGCTTTGTTAATTACTCCGTTTTCTAATTCTAATGATTTTCCAATTCTTTTAGAAGTTTCTCAAAGATGCCAGTATCAGATAGATGGCTATCTTTATCAAGAGATTTGTTTGCTTTGGACTGCAAGAACCAGTGATAATGCAATTACCATGTTCCTGCCATTACACCATTTGGTTTCCCTACTTATCACTTCCCTCTCTGTCTGCATTATACAATGTACTAATTAGGCCATAGGTAGCTCAATGAATAGAGAGAACAGAAGGCCTGGAGTCAGGAAGATCTGAGTTCAAATTTGACCTCAGAAACTTGCTAACTGTTTAATACGGGGCAAGCCACTTAACTGGTGCAGCTAGGTGAAGCAGTGGATAGAATACTGGGCCTGGAGTCAAGAAGACCTGAGTTCAAATCCAGCCTCAGATACTTACTAGCTGTGTGACCCCAGGCAAGTCATTTAACCCTGTTTGCCTCAGTTTCCTCATCTGTAAAATGAGCAGGAAAAGGAAATGGCAAACCACTCCAATATCTTTGCCAAGAAAACCCCAAAAGGAGTCACAAAGAGTCAGATATGATTGAAACAACTGAATAACAACAAAACTAAGTCACTTAACTGCTGTTTGCCTCAATTTCCTCAACTATAAATCAAGATATAATAGCATTTACCACCCAGAGTTGTTGTAAGGATCAAACAACATAATACTTGTGAAAAGAACTTAGCACAGTGTCTGGTATATAGCAGACACTTAATAAATTCTTATTTCTTTCCTTCTATTCTTCCTTCCTTTCTTACTTGGAAAGGGAGACAGAGCAGCCTAGAAGAATGTGCTGTGATGGAACTAGTATTTGTCTTCTCTCTGGGAGCTGTCACCCAGACTTTGATTTAGACCTCTGGCATATGGCCCTGACTTTCTGAGCAGCACCCTGCTTCTACTATTATCAACACTGATTCTCATTCATCCATTTCCAAAAGAATACAAACAACACTGAAGGACATCTCCTGTCTTCCCTTCTTAAGTTCATTTTATTTATCCTTCTTCTTTCCTATCATTTTCTTTCTTCCACTGTATTCCTCCTGAGCCAGGGGTGGGGAACCTTTGACCTTGAGGCCACACGTCTAAGTCCTTGGGTGGGGCTGAGTCCAAGTTTTACAGAACAAATCCTTCTATGAAGGGTATTTGTTTGGTGAAGTTTGGATTCAGTCAAAGGGCTGCACTTGAGGACCTAGAGGGCCACATTTGGCCTCGAGGCTGCAGCTTCTCCACCCCTGTTTCCTGAACCCCAGACCTCCACCCTAAGAAAGAAAAATCCTTGAAACAGAAGATGAGAAGCTAGGAACAATTAGAGTGAGGGATCAGGGTAAGGAAAAATTGTTTTCAATTTTACCTTTTCCAAATTCTGCTTGCTTCTCCCTCTCCTTTTTCATTTTCAAATGCAAGGTAAATTGTGCTTTGGCAGTACCGTGATCTAGCCAGTCCATGATTTTCTTTTCTCTCTCCCCATGCTGCTTCCATCCATCTCACCTGTTATTTTTATCAGGTGTTTGGCAGAGTTCCCTAATTCTGTTCTATGTCCAGACCTTTCTTTCTATCGAAGCAACATCATTGACAGTGCACAGCCCAGCAAGATTCTCCTCCACATTCAGCCTTCACACATTTCTTGTTTCATTAACATTAAGAGATTGTTCTACATCCCTGAGTCGAATGCCAACCAACCAGATTTCCAAGCTTCTTCCTAGCAACAGCTACCTAGTAGTAGTAATGACCTTGTAATTGCAGGTTTGCCTTATTCTGGTTAAGATGAAATGAAGTTCCAGACTGAAAACTAGAGGATGATTGTAATGCACTTATTTATGCACTTTCTCTTTGTGGGGATGTCTAGTGACCCGCAAGATACTATTTTGCAATACAAACTAGATAAATTTGCAGTATTTCAGAAATTCTGGGAGTAAGAACCTACATCCAAAGCTCCCCTCATCCCACTTTTTAAAGAAACAAATGTTTCATATGTGCTTACCTGGAACAAAACTCCCCTGGACCACCTCCTTATATGCCCACCAGCCTTCATGGATTTTTGGTGAATTCTGTTGAGCTAAAAAATAAAATAGGGGAAAATTTCATTAAATAAATACCATGTCTTGGCTCCTAGAATATAAAATAATAATGCAAATCAGTTAACTGTTTTCTATCCAGTTGGCAAGCTACAAAAAGCAGCAGCTTCCCCCAAATAGTACCCTTCTAGATAGCAGGGATATCAGAGTGTGTGTGTGTTTTAAAGGTGAGTTCAGTAGAGACTCATTTTTATCCCATTTTCCATATCATGTCCATTTTCCTTAGTAAATAAGAAAGCAGAAATTACCACTGGAAGACAGGAGAGGAAGAACAAATGAGAGAATGGGAAGAGAATTGATGATTGAGCAAGGAATAAAAGAAACTAAGCCCATTCTAAGCAAATAGAATATTGAATGGTTTTAGATGATTTAGATTTGTGAGACCTAGGACTCTGTATTTTATGTAGATTGTAAGAGACAGAATGTATTTCAGGGATCTTCTAGGAAATCATATGTAAAGTAACTTCATCAAATTTATAATACTATATAAATGTTATTATAGTTAACAATAATCATAACTCTTATTATAAGAATAATAGAAGTAACAATAATATTGTTAAGTATAATTGTTGCTATTGCCATTGTTATGACAACAATAAGTATTAACTATAACAATTGTTACTATTATTATGATGACAATGATTATTGCTAATAATAATGATTACTATTAATATATCAATTTATGTTGTATAATAGTATATTGCTACTATTATAACTAATCAATGTTAAATAAAATAATTATCATTGTTGCTATTATAATAGCAATAATAATTAGTATTATAAATATATACTTATATATTATTTATATATCATATATTATTATACTGATAATAATAATAATAATAATAAACAGTTATTATTATCCAGTTCTTTTTTTCTGAAGTTGCAACACAACTTCACACCATACAACATAACACAATAAATATTTAGGCAACACTTGCTATATACCATATTGTTTTTTGATAATTTCTGACAATTCACAGACAAAAATGAAACAGTCTTTGTCTTCAAAAACTTATATTTTACCATAAAGATACAATGTGTTGAGTAAACACAAAAGAAGTTCAAGATAGAGAGAGAACACTAATAATGGACAGATTAAGAAAACCCTTGGGAAGGAGGTGGCCCCAGAGCTGTGCCGTCAAGGGAACTCAGGATATGTTGTGGTGGAGGGGAGGAGGAAATACATTTCAGACTTGTGGAACTAATTTACTCCAAGGCATAAAGGCAAGGGATGGAAAATTATCTACTGGGAACATCTAGCAGGTCAGTATGGCAGGATCATAGACTTGGAACTGGAAATGACCTTAGAGGTTATCTTGTTCACCTTCATTTTACAAATAAAGAAACTGAGTCCCAGAAAAGTGAAGTGATTTGTCTAAGGTCACGTGGATAGCAAATGGCAGGGATCAGATTCCAAGCTAGGTCCCTCGACTCCAAAGCCAACCTACCATGAATAGTAAATAAAAGAAGAGGGACCTGGGCTGTCCTGATCAACATAACTAACCAAAAAAGCCTCTATACTCCCCTAAAAGTGGTAAAAACACTTTCATCTCTCTTCAGTGTTCCTCAATTGCTTTTTGAGCAATTGCATGCATTCCAAAGTGGAATTATGTAAGATGATTGCAAATGGCTGTGTGTAAGACAATCAGATCAGAGCACCATCCACTTATAAGTGATCAGAACTGAGGAGTTTCAATAAAGCTTCCTTAATGTGCCTTGTAGAGGACCAGATTCAGCCCTAGAATCAATCGACTTAAGCAGTGCCTACAAAATGTCCAACCAATTACGAAGTACTATAGCTACAGACTGGATTTGAAGAAAAGGAAGGCATTTTATTGAGTACAGTTTAGGGTGCTTTATTTTACTACAAGAACATTTGATTCTGTTCCCTTCAAAAACAAAAACAAAAACCCAAACAGGATTGGCCCATTGAGAGTGAACTCTACTTAAAGCCTTTTGGTTCTGTTTCTTTTATGTTCTGGTTCTGGTTCTTTTAGAACCCCTCCCCCAGTCTTTCTGTCCTTAAGACTCATCTTTGCCCCATTCTGAGGCTGAGCTGTTATCAAGCCTAGAGGCTGAAGCTCTCGCCAGCTGGTCCTCACCAGCGTCACTTGGCCTATCCACCCCAGCCCCCACTCAGACACTGAGCTTTCTTCATGCCCAAGAGGCTAAGACTGCCTCATGCTCGCTCTCCTTACGAGTCACCTGGCCTGACCACCTTATCCCCCAGCCCCCATTCAGACGCTGAGAACCTCTCACGCCCAGAGGCTGAGATTCTCAAGCCTGCTTATGAGCATCGCCTGACCACCTTAGCCCCCATTTAGATCACTGATGTTTGGGTTCCTTAGGAGTCTAGTCTCTATGCTTTGTCTTTAATAAACTTTTTCTCTGGCTGGAAGAGATCTGGGTTGAATTCATTCAGGCTGATTTGGCGCCTAAATCTGGGGCTTTTCCCCACAATCTTGGGGTGCCTCTGTGCATCTAGCAGCACCCCAAAACCCCCCTCCTCTTCAATAGGACCTGGCCTCATACTTTTATGAGAACACAAATGACCAAGATCTTTCTCTCCTCTTTTACATATCAAAAGTCCTATACAACACCTCTCCCCTACTCCCTTTCTTCTTTTGCTTAATCCTGTGATAAAGATGTAGGCTTTCACATGACAATGTCCAACCCCTCTATATGTACTTTTGATTTCAACCACACTGTTTTCTCCAGTTTATTAATTCCAACATCATAATCTTCTTGATATGGCTACTAAGGTCTCTTCCAAAGCCATTTGATCCAAGAAAACTATACAAAATGACTAAAACAAGGTAAATGGAAAGAACAACCATACCAACAAAATAAATAAATAAAAGTGAATATAGCAAAATTATAAAGCTCAACCATGACTTGAATAAACAGATATGAAAGAACACCCTCAACCCACCCTTTTATGTAGTGAGAGGTCCACATGTGTTACACATTGCAAATATTTTTAGACTTTTTCAAAACATTGATGAATTGTGCTGATTTTTTCCTCTTCTTTTTTTTTCCCCTTTTTGGCTAGGCAATGGGATTAAGGGACTTGCCCAGGGTCACACAGCTAGTAAGTGTTATGTATCTGAGGCAGGATTTGAATTCAGATCCTCCTGCACCACCTAGCTGCCCCTTTTCTTTCGTTTTTAAAAATGCTGTTTGGTATATGGGATGGCTCTCTTGGAAGGATAGACAGAGGAATATTGGAGAAAACTCTGGTTATATAAAAAAGACATCAAGAAAAAATTACTAAAAACAAGTATAAATGTAAGAATAACTCAATTTAGAAACAAGCAGGCCGCATGTTCTAATGGAAAGAACATTGGATTAAGAATAAGGAAATCATTCAGTCAGAGAATCTTAGTGTTCATCTAGGGATGTCTCTTTCTAAAACATGAATCCCTTTATAGCACTCCTGGTAAGTGATATTTGATCAAAGACCTCCTGTGATAGGTAGGGCAAGCATACTTCCTGTAGGACTTTTCCTAATTTTCAATCAACTCTTTTGTTGAGCAAAAAATCAATCTTTCTAAACCTTTCAGTTTTGGTCCTAAGTCTACCCTTTGACACCAACTAGAACAAATCAAATCTTACACATACAGTTCTGAGGAAGTTGTCAGAAGGTCCAATAGAGGCAAATTGCCAAGAGACTGGGAAGTGGTAAGACCCATGGCTAATCACAAATAATTCCAGAGTTTCCTATGTTTTTCTTCCTTTGTTCTTCAAAGAGTCTTTCCTGCTGGAGACAGGGAGGGGGCAGCAGTGGTGCTCAAATTTTTGGAGGAGGTGTAGTTAAAACATCTAAGGGCTGAACATTCTCTGGTGATTAGTGGGGATACTGTCATTTTGTGTTGTTTGAGGAAGGATATTCTACACAGTTGGCAGGGCAACTTTGATGGGACCAACTGAGCTGTGGCTTGAGTACATTCAGTGGGCAATTTAGCTGTTGTAATCCCTCTTTGGATAATTAGTATAGTGACATACTATCTTTCTATAGCCTTAAAGACAGCAGCACATGAACTGCTGTGAGCTTCTTATACCACTTTAGTGCTCCATGCATCAAATGTTGCTTTCACTTTTCAGCAGGTAGGGTTTCTCATGTGAGATATTTTAATTTGGGGGCTGTTTTTCTATCCTTTGAGTAAGTCTGCTTAAGTTACATACAGGAGTCACAATTAAGGATGCTAATCATGGAACTGGGCTTTTTTGTGTGTGTTTTTGAGTTTTGAGCCAATTTTTATTTTTAGCACAGTGTTTCTTTTATTCTATTTTTATTTTAACTTTAAAACACTTCCTTGTTATCTCAATGGAATTGTCTTTTTCAAGTCCAGATTTTGATGCATTTTTTAATTTTAAATTTTCATTTAGTTTTTCTCTCCATGGCATTTTCTTCTCTCATGATTGACCAGTCATCACTCTATTTCACAGAATTATGAAGGAATTTTCCTTGTGAATGCTATTGGTTATTAATTTATTAAGTTATTATGGGTCATTGATAAGGTTGATGCTTATTTGCATGTGTCAATGACTCCATAGATATTGATTGCCTTTTCCTATGCTAATTATTAGTTAATGTCTTTAGCTGCATGATTATATGAGGACTATATGTTCATTGTGTTTGCATATTGATTTACTGCCCAATTATTATATGTCAGTGTGTATTCATGGCTGTTCTTGCATAACAGATTTGTTGAACACAATGTTAACTAAGATTTGAACAAAATGAAGGACAGAATTCTAAATGTGTTGTGAAGTAATAGGTATAGACCAAGAGTATACATACATACATGCATACATACACACACATATGTATGTTTTGTGTCTAAACAAAATGTCATGTGGATGTACTGAAATATTGTTGTGATACAAGAAATAATGAATGTAAAGAATTCAGAGAAACTTGGGAAGACTTGTATGAGATGTTACAAGTGAAATGAGCTAAAGATAATAGCAATAA